CGGGCCCGGCCGCCCCTCGCCGCGCCCTCCTCAGGCCCTGCGGCCCACGCCGCCGTCCCAACACCGACGTGTTCTCCCATCCCTCCCTGGATCCCGGGCCCGGCCTCAACTTACAGCCTAAAGCCCAGACCCCCGCCCCGGCCCGAACGCAGGGCGAACGGACTTAACCCCGATGGGCGCCGCCATCTTGGCGTGGACCGGTCTCAGCGAACAGATTTTTTCCCTTTGGGGACTCGGGACTACGTTTCCCAGGGTGCCCCGCGGCAGCGTCGGCGGGTCGCGCGAGAGCTGACAGGTCTCGCGCTTCCTCCCCGGAGGAGGTCGGCCGGGGCGCGGGACCCGGGGTCCGGCCGGGAGCTGGGGCGGAGCCGGCCGGCGCGCTGCGGCGGGCAGGTGCTCCGCGCGCTCGGCTTGGGCGTGTGGAAGCCGGTGTGCGCCGCGCGCCGTGGTTCTGCCGGCTGGGCCGCGCAGACGGGCCCTCGTTGTCTGCCGAGCACCTTAGCCCCGACGTGGTTCCCCGAAGAAACCCGGTGGCCGGCGTCCCCGCCCCGCGAGCCGGTGCTCCTCGCTCGGTGCTCACTTCCTGTGGGCCGCTCGTGTCGGTTCGGGCCTGCCTTGAGCGGAGAGAGCTGAGGGGCGGTTTCCAGGCCCCGCATGCGAGCCCCGTTACCGCGCGCCCCTAAACAAAACAACTCCCTCGGCTCTTCCAGTAGGTTCCTTAAACCCCTTCCTTAATGCTCCGCTTTTTGGCAGTGCTGGGGAGTGAACTCCGGGCCTTGGACTTGCTAGGAAAGTGATCTGAGCGACACCCCCAGCCCTCAGCCCCACTTACCTTCCCTGTCCAATCCCGTCTCCACCCAGAAATGAATGAGAGGGACAGGGAGGAAATAACCGCAGAAAAAAATAAAACCAATAAAAATTACTTTCAGCTTCAGCTAAAGGTTTGGGAAATTGAGAAGAGGAATCATGGAGGACGTTGGAACATGAGTCAAAATGAATGTCAGCCTAAGGATTTTGTTTTGGGACCCTTTGACCAAGGTTGCTGTGGCTGTAAAGGTCAGGAGGTGTTAGAAGGAAAGAAAGGCAGAGGACAGGCTGGAACCGAGGTCTCCACTAGGAAATACCAGCGAGGATACACTTCCTGGCTCTCACCAGTCCTGACTGACCTGTTGCCTGTTAGGTACCTCCTCTTTCGTGACTTTCCAAAGTCCCAGCAGAATCCTCAGCTGTTTCTTCCCTTTGACTGCTCTCCTTTGTCTTTTCAAACTGAGCAATAAAATACTCCACTTAAACAGAAACAAAACTTTGACGCATGCTACAAAATATAGGAACCTCACAAACATTATGTAAAATGAAAGGAAACACAGTAGGCCACAGATAGCGGCATTCCATTTGTATCAAATACCCAGAGGAAGCAAATCCGGAGATACTAGAGACTGGTGGGACAGGTTTAAGTGAAGTGAGGGCTGAATGGGAAAGGTTTCTTAGTGGTGATGAAGACGGTCTGGAACCAGAGTACACTACAACACCAAGACTGCACAGAATGTTCATGAATGTTCATGTTGTTTACTTTGAAGTGTCAAATATGGTGAATGTTTTTCTTACTTGGGTTCAACCACAGTTTAAAAAAGAGAGATATGATCCTATGTGTCCATTTTTACTTTTTTATGGAAGGCTCCTATCTAAAAAAATCATGGCCCACATCAATGTGTTAAGTCTTCTCCTATGTTTTCTTGTAACTGTGCCAATCAGCTGATTGTGGACAGCCAGAAAGGGATTGTGGGTAGGCCAGGAGAAGCTCTTCTAAGTGTTGGCATACTGGGCTCTTGAGTGCCCAAACCTAGGAGCTGAACTGGCAGACCCAGAGACTTACAGATGAGATTGGCCTGTTCAGGCTCTAGGTAGATTAAACATGGCTGTCAGTACTCAGTTTGGAGGCTTGCTGCTCTGGACTTTGCCCATCAGCAACCCTGACACTTGGCAGGCTTTGTTGCTTCCAGAAAGAGTGAACCTGGCAGTGGACAGCAGCCAACGTGGCAAATTTAGGTGTCACAGTGTCCTACAGGCCTTGGGTACTGGAATTCTCAGATTTGCAGTGACTAATGTAACAGCTCTTGGTCCAGGGTGACTGAGACTCTTAGCTCCTAAAGCTTGGCAGTTGTTTCTTCCGGTGACCGGGGGCACACACTTTTCCTTCTATGACTCTTCACAGCCCTCCTTGTTTCTGCTGCCTCTGCTCCCTACCATTTTGATGCCAGCCAATCTCTGAAACTCTGCAATATTCTTCTCCTTTCTCCTGTCACCTGTCACTGCTGCTGCCTCTGCAGCCTTTGCAGTTGCTACAGCTATGCTGTTGTAGAGATGGAAATCTCTGTGCGTTTATTGGGATGAGTGCAGTAGCTGGTCTCTGTGGCTAGTAGATATTTATGAGCAAGCCTCACAGCTGGTGGCAACTCATTATTGCAAAACCCTCGTGCTAGTCATTATGACCACTACCTCTTCTTATTTGTTTTATTTCTGCCAGGCCTTTGGTGGTCTAACTGGGCCATCTCCTCTAGTTTGAGGTAGGATTGGAATGGGCTTCCCAAATCATCTTAGAATGGTAAGAGAAAGTAGATGACTGACTGCAATCCTTCTTCCCCCCCAACCCCCATACTGTGTACTCAGGAAGGGCTCTGCCAGGTGTTTGGTGAATTTGGAGACAGTAAAGGGGCCACCAGGTCATGATGAGATGATCTTATCTTTCAGTTAGATCCGGGCACCATCTAGGTGGTTCCAGCTTCCTGTAATGGGACAGTTGGGAGTGGCTAGTGGAACTTCCTGGGAGACAGGGGAGTATGAGTTTCCATCATGCCATCATACTGTCTGTCTGCTCACCTTCTGCTTTGCAAAGACAATTTCCTGAAAGTTCCCAGTCACAGGGACAAGACGTGATGTGGCAAATGCGCTGGAAAAGGCCATCCTGTGCTCCTAACCGGGAGCAAGGCCCTTCCGTGGCTGCTTGAGGAATCGCTCACTAAATGGTCCTCAGGTGCCCTAATGTATATCACTGGCCTCACCTAAAGCTTTCTAGAAACCTGCCTCTGTGTAGTTGAGTCTAAGGCCACGAACATTTCTTGAACATGTGCTGTGAACAGAGTGTAGATGGGGTACTGTGGATGGAGAAAGAAGCCAGAAAGTTTATGAACACGAGGCTGTCAAGGATTGGCTCCAAGAATGTGAGAAGGAAACTCAAGTCAATCCAAGGAGGGTCCTGGGAGTCACTGTGTGAACTCACACCAGAGGACAAATCTCTAGATGGGATAATGAAGGAAAGAGAAAGCATTGCAAAAAAAATCTCAGAAAAACCTGAACTGAATAACTACTTGATGCCCTGGATTTATTAGGGGAAATTAATTTTTTTAAAAGGTGATTGTAGGCAGGCTGCTGGTGGCTCACACCTGTAATCCTAGCTACTCAGGAGGCTGAGATCTGAAGATCTTAGTCCCAACCCAGCCTTGGCAGGAAAATCTATGTAACTCACCTCCAATAAACTACCCAAAAGCCAAAACTAAAGATGTAGCTCAAGTGGTAGAGCAGTAATTTTGAGCAAAAGCAGCTTAGGGACAGGGCCCAGACCCAGAGTTCAAGCTTCAGCACTGATAAATAAAAAATATATAAAGATGATTCTAACATAGGAATATTGTGTAGGGCAGGTTTATTTTTTCTACTCATTAAAGAAGCCAAAGGCAGGAAAGTGTTGACAGTAAATGAAAGGAGAGGCTTGAAAGCAGGTAAGGAAAGTCTCCAGCAGGAGAGGGCCTGAGAGGAGTTCATCAGAGTTGCAGAGGACGGTTTTATAGTACAGGGTTCTGCCCATTCCTCCTCCCTTGGACTTTGAGTTGCCTGAGAGCTTGTGCTCGTGCCACGCTGGCTCCTTTGATTAGGTGAGAGGACACCCAGGCCATTGAACAGTAGCTGGAGGCATTATGGGAAGAATAAACCGTTGTTGGCCATGTGTTATGTTTGCCAATTTTTTCTCTGTCTCTTCCTAACAGTTCCCCTTTCTGTCCCTCAATACCTTGGAAGCCCTGGAAGAGTCCCAGTAGGAGAGTTGTCAGGCTTTCCCAGCACTGAAGGAAGGCCTTGGAAGGGTTGGGAATGGAACATGTACTGTGCTACAAGTAGACCCAAATAAACAGGGAAGGCTGTCCATGACAGTGTCTGTGAAGAGCAAGTCCATTGCCAGTGAAGGCCTGGGAATAAGGAACCTGAAGACGTTCTTTTAAAGCTAGGAAGCATATTTGTTTCTGAGCAAGGAAAGTTGTATAATTTGAAGATACCATCCAATAATTACTCTTGGAAACATTCCAAAAGGCCAGATTTGTCCCAACTTCCTTTACTATCTCTCTGAGCTCTCCAGGCCCAAAAATCATTGGTAAAATCTGTGAATTTAAATTGCAGTGCTATGCATGAATATCTACAAGGCAAAGATCATAAAAAATCTTATCTGGAAAATATACAAGTAGAAGTATCAGCAAGTGTTGGAGAGATATTAGTTCATGAATTATTTCCCTGAGTAAATCATTGCCACTGGGTGTAACATTGTTCAATGGATATTAGAATGCACTCTCTTTTCATTGCTGCTTTCTGCCCTACCGGTTCTTCCACCTTCTGTGTTTTATTAGCACAGTATCTAAAACAGGGGGCTTGCTCCTGGCTGCTCTCACCATGGCTCCTGCAGTCTTGCCTGCCCTCCTTCCTGTGTGTGCATGTCTGCTACTGGCCTCAGGCTCTGCCCAGGCAGGCAAGCTGCTGGTGGTGCCCATGGACGGCAGCCACTGGTTCTCCATGCGCTCTGTGGTGGAGAAACTCATCCACCAAGGGCATGAAGTGGTCGCAGTTGTGCCAGAGGTGAGTTGGCAGCTGGGAAGCGCACTGAACTTCACAGTGAAGACGTACTCAACTTCTCACACGCTGGAGGATTTGGACCAGGAGTTCAAGGTTTTTCTTGACACCCAGTGGAAAAAGCAGGAACAAAGTATGTTTTCTCTAATAATGGGCTCTTCTAATCGTTTTTTTGAATTGATTTTTTCACACTGTAGGAGTTTGTTTAATGACAAGGAATTAGTAGAATTCCTAAAGGAGAGTTCTTTTGATGCGGTGTTTCTAGACCCTTTTGATGCGTGTGGATTAATTGTTGCCAAGTATCTTTCACTTCCGT